AGAAATTCCACTCGGCGCTTCCGGTAAAGGAGCAGTACCGGTCTCGCGGCGGCGGGGAAAGCTTTCAAAACACTTGGCAATCTTCTTTCTCTTTTTCCGGGTTAACGAGGACGGGGACACTCGCCCGGCGTTTCCTTTTTCCGCGTCGCGTTGCGAGCGAGCGAGCGAGCGAGGAATCTAACAGCGCCGTCCTAAAACTCGCGAAACTCCGGTGAACGTTGTTTCGCGGACGACGTCGTCTCGCTCGGTCCCGATACGGATAATTTGAAATTCCGCGCGCGAGAACCGCCGACACCCTTTTTTAGGCGGCGTTCTAGCGGTCGCGGACCGCCTCTCCGATAAAAAGCGTTCCCGCGGCTAGGAATATCGGTCACGATGTCCAACGCGTCGATGCATGACAATCTTTAGCAGGCGTTCCGACTTGCAGCCGCAAAACGCGGACCGTTTCGAATGCAAGCTGAATATCCTTCTCGAACCTCTCAATCCTGAATTCCTCGACGACTGACCCGAGACGAGGGAAAAATGCGATTTAATTCGGAACATTCGTCGCGGTGGTTTCTTCTGTCGCGCGAACATCGAACGACCGTTTCGCGTGCGATGAATTCATCCTGGATTTCGCGGCGACGCGATTTTTTCGAGTCTCGGTCGCGAGGACGAGTCAACGACACGTCCCGTTTTTTATCAGCGGAACACGTCCGCGGAAAGAAGCACGAGATATGCGAAGAATCCTGTCAAGGAAGCCTAGTAACCTCTCGGCAACCGACTCGATCCACGGCGCGCCGGTAAAAAGGAAAGAAAGTATCCTTTCTCGTTCGCGCAGCCGAGCGCGGTTTAAAAATCCCGCGAAAAATACCGCCTTTGCTCGAGCAGCTCGTTGCCACTTCCTTATTTTCCTCGATGCCTCTGACTCGAGCGTGTTCTTCCCCGGCTGGAACCTGCTCCGTGATTATTAAACGACCGCGGAAGTTTCCAGCGAAAATGCAATTTTATTCATTAAGCAAATGGACTTGCCCCGTCGAATTAATGAAGGATTAACGCCGACGCGGTGATTTTAAGTAGATGCGGTAGATTGACCGTGCCCCAGAGGTAGATAGTAAATTGTACATACTCTTTCGTTCGCCACGCTATCTCTACACTTATATTATTATTTATCGGGCCGTATTTTAGTGGATTTTCAGCCGTTAAATGCCTCGCAATGGGAACCGCGAGAGTTCATTAGCCCCTGAGCTTAGATACCGTGTTTCTAAATAGTTTCAACCTTCTTCACTAAGTATCCATCGCGGATACCGTTTCACGGAGTGAGCGAAGTTCGCTGCAATTAGCACACCCCCGGAATAGACTCGCACCATTATGCAATCCGGGGAGCAACAAGTGGCCGGGGGCTGGCTGGTTGTTACAGGCTGTTTCCTCGTTAATTAATGGGGATCGGGATCGGAATGAACGAGCGCCGGGCTTTGAACTTTATTCCAATGGAATACTTTGGGAAGTCAACGATTTGCGGACGAGTGTCGACATTTCGGCGAGATGAAAATTTCATATTTGGAGGACCGAGTCGAGAACACATGATTTAATTACTCGAACAGCAAGGGAGCACGTAGTTCCCTTCGTCTATTGTCTAAGCAGTTTTATATATATTGTAGACAGTTCGCCCTTTTGCTTGTCGATACTTGGAGCCCTGAGAGATAGTCCAGGCCCATTGATAAATTTATGACCAAGGGGACCACCATGACCTGGGTCACGTACGCCCTCGACTGAAGATTTTTTCTTTTTGGAAAAGCAGTCGAGGAAGAGCAGTTCACATCGGGTAATAAATACATTTAACTTGAGTACGGACTTAGTTTTTATTTCAGTAGCCCTACAATATTAAAGAATCTTCGTCAGTAAAGGGTTAATTTCAGCGAAACGCCCTCGGTTCACGAGCATCAGCGAACCGTGGTGCTCGAATATCAACCGAACCGATGAACGGCCAAGAGAGTTGCGCAACAATGCAAGTATTCGCGATTTCGCCTTCGCAGCTGCGCGGCAGCCAACGGCCGACCAGACGGGGCGACCTCGAGACCTCGAATCGGCTTCTGTCAAAAGAGAATCGGAGGCATTCAGGTCTCACGCAGAATGGGTATAGTCTGTGACCCATAAAGACGGCCCGCAGAGTCCGTGCACAGGTGCGCGTTCACCTGAACGGATCTGCCTCCCTTTCGCCGTGGAAAGTCATCGGCCGATCTTTGGGAAATCTTGCCTCCGAAGCCCGAAAGAAATCCCACGAACCGAAAATCATTAGCCAACGAATGACCGACGGTTTCCTTTGAACGAGCACGTTGGAAAAGAAAACTGAAAGTCTATGAAATTTCCGAAATTCCTAAATTATACGACTATGACGAAAGGTTTTCCAGTATTCGCGTACGAACGAGGCGCGATAACGATCCTTTTCGCGTGGCTAATCGCGTTGTCGGTCGAGAAGCGAACACGGAACGGTTTTCCGGTTAAGTTGCGATCCCCCCGGGTTGCGCGCCGGTTCTATCGCGGGTCACAGCCTCGCTCGAAAGGAAATGCGATAGGTTTTCCAGCCGCGCGGGTTTACCCAGAAACGCGAAAGGCGCGCGTGCCTCCGTCCAGCCCGGCCCATTTGCAATTTTAATCGGAACTGATTAAGTCGGACGTAACGCGCGAAAAGAAAGTAGTACGAGTTCGTTAGCGCGACGCGGGGATCGCCGAGGCTGAGAACGACTCCCTCGAGGACCGAGCGATCGATAAGCGACAGACGGCTCTGAGATGGCCTAGGCGTTTAATTAGCCCTAGAACGAAGCCGAAAGCGTGACAATTAAACTGGCACGAGGTAGAATTTACGAACAAAGTGGCAAGGGATAAGCATCAGGAAACCGCGATTAAGAACGAAAACAAGCGACTTCATTGAAATCCATGGAAAGAAGTTATTATTTCTCAGCTCGTCGTCGATCAGTCCGACGCGTAATCAGCGTAGACGAGGTATCCGCTATTACTTTCAGTGATACGTCAGCGTGGCAGGAGAATATCTTCCGAGCGACTCATCAACCGGCTCGGCGCGTCCTACGGACGAAAACTCGGCGAGTCCGAGCAGGAGAGCAAGATTTCCCGCGATCAATTAGCAGAGAACGTCGCGCGGCAGCCGCGACAAAACGCGCCGGTTGCATCACTGCCGTAGTAGAATGAGGGAAGGAAAAAAAACGGCGAGAGCCATTAGCGTTCCTCCATAAAATCAGCCTAAGAATGCCCATTTCCCTCGGCACAATTCCAGGCACCCCATCGCGAGCGAAGGGTTCCCGAGGCAGGTACGGCGACACGTCGAGCCAGGGAGTGCCTGGGTAGAGAAGGCGAGCGAGACGCGGCCCGCCGAGGAGAAACGGAGAACGAGGAACAGAGTGAACAGGAGAGGGGCCAGGTGAGGCGCAGCGGTGGGGCAGAGTCCGTCGGAGTCTCACGCGTTCCTTGGGACCGCAGTCCTCGTAGGAGCGTACAAGCGGAAGCAGCTCGACGTTCCGTTGGTGGCGCGCGCTCGGTCGTATCGGTACGGTACTTCGGCCAGAAGAAAAAGTGTCTCGGGTGGTCCGGATCGGAACGGTTCTCACGGCGAGCCGGAAGGGAACTCGTAGTCTCAGCGTTCGGCTGCCAGTATCAGTGACCAGGAACAAGTTGACCAGCGCCATCTGCGTGTCCCGTGCGTTGTTCGGTATCGAAGACTCGGGATCGTTAAAGTTCGAAGGAATTCGCGGGGCCCAGGATCATTTGCTCGCTCGTCGGAGCCGATGAGGCTCGCAGGAACGTCGGAGACGACGGCTCGCGTGGCTAACGCCTGCGGCCGCGCCTCTGGATTCCAGCAGCGGCGACCCACCGGCCGACGGGCCCCTTGAATTCCAGCTCTCCCTCTTTTTCTCGGGTGTGCGCGAGCGCGTGTTTTCGCCGGGTGTGTACCTGTCGATCCCGGTACACGTGGAGGTGAGGGGCGACCGGGCGGACGACGACGCCACTGCGCGCACCGCATACCTGAGGAGGAGACCCGGGCCAGGCGGGAGAGCGCGGTGGGGACAGCTCGAAGAGAAGGTTGCCCGAAGGTGGGAGGGAGACGAGCGGAGGAAAGAACCAGGCCCCGAGCCGCGCTGAACGAAGAGGGCCCGACGCTCGGGAGAAGGAGGCCCGGCGAGCGTGGTGGGGCGAGGCCGTCAGAAGGCGGCCATAATGGCCTGACGCCGATCTCGGGCGAGTGGCGGC